TCCTCCCCCCCTTATCCTCCTCAACCGATAAACCCCAACATCGTGTCGGAAACTGGGATCATAAACGTGTAATTTCCCGTTGGTCAAAATTCTTTTTTTATATACAAAATGTTTTATCAAACGATGTTTCAGTATTTTCCGAATTTTCCGTTTTGAATTCACGGGGCACGTTCTCCGATAACATTTCTTTTCTGAAGAACAGGGCCGCTCAATACATTCCAATCTCGACTACACGCAACCTGTCCTGGGATTTGGGCTCTGGGCCCTTGTGCCTTTTGGCCCTCCGAAGGCCAAGGTAGAAAAAGACGACATGGCGAATCAGCTGTGGGGGAAAGATATTGGGTGGCTGACCCAGATAGAAAAAGTAAAAAGCACATTGTCATAAACTTTTGGCGCTCCGCGCGGGCTTCTTGGAGTCGCGCTGGCCCCCCCCTCCCTGGCGCAGAGAACGCTCAAAGGGCGGCGCTGGAGGCGCCGCCGGGGGGGGCCCAGCGCGCGTCCAAGAAATCCGCGCGGAGCGCCAAAATTTGATGTTCATGTGGTCTTCTCTCCTTCGATCAAGGTGGGGAGGGGGGTATCATTGGCTTGGAATCGGGGATGCGTCGCCGGTAGACCGGCGACAGGCCCGCGACAGCGGGACGGAACCTTCCTGGCCTGGGCGGAGCGCTCAGGCCCCGACTGGTGACGAATTTGCCATTCGGCGATGCTCCCCGCTCTCCTGGGCCAATCACCCGAGGGCGCGCCGCCTGATGCCTCAAAGGAGGGGTGGGGGACCCCTCCCACTCCTTGCCCCTGGCCCGGCGTCCCGTGGTCCCCCCCCCCCCCCCCCCGATCCATCTCCCGAGGGGGACAAGAGAGAAGAATATCCACCCCCATCATGAGCACCCCGACAAGCGAAGCAATTCAGTAAACGCACCCAAAGAAGGATTCGAACATGGCAGGGCTGTTTTGAAAACGCCACTCTTCATGGAGGGGGCTCAACCCTCTGCACCACCTCCCCCACTGTGGACCCAGCACGAGGAATACTCCTCCCCACTCTTTGCACAGAGAGGCCCACGGTGCTCCCCACCTCCCCCGCCGTGCCCTGGAAGAGTCGCTCCTGAGTCACGGGCTCTGGCCTTGCACAGTGGCCAGAGCCCGAAACGTGAGCCCGGACACGTCATCTCAGCACCCTCGTCAAACTAGAACTCTAGGCCCTGCCCTGCCCCAACCAGAAACCCGCACCCTAACACCCTGACCCTGACACCTTCAAACCCAACGCGCTACCCCAACGTGCTAGCCCTGAACCTGATACCCGAACACTAGCACCACAACGCTAACATACAGTCGACCTTGATTGGAGAGGACACGCGAGAGGACACAAGACCCTTCCGGGGGCCACGTTGCCACAGAAATGCAGGGTGCATGGGTCGCAAAACACAAGACACGAGAGTACCCTTGATCTGGCAGGGTCGACCCACTAATCCGGGCCGCCTGTACAAACACATCACACCATTACACTCCAACCCTGACGCCCTAATCCGGACACGCTAACATCATGCCACGAGCATGCTGGCCCTAGCCATGAGCTAACCTTCACAATCTAACACCCTGATCCTGACCAGATTACCCTAACACACTGGCCCTAAATCGAACACCCAAACCATAACCACCCGAACCCGAACACCCTACCGCTCACACCCTGACCTTTAACATCCGTGCACAAACCTACCACCGTAACTTGCAACCCTATCCCCAATCGTAACACGCTATACTTCACCCGATCCCACCAACCCTTTAGGGCGTAGATGGTTTAGGGAATTTCCTCTTCCAACCCCCGTCTTCCCCTTCAGGGAAGCCCCTTCGGGGAGGGGTTTACCCCTCCCCCGGTCCCCCTCCCCTGGACGGGGACGGGAAATTTCGCGAGCGGCCAGAGCGTCCAAGATGACCCAAGATGGCTCCAAAAGGGCCTCGGAGACCCCAAGATGACCTTCAAGATGGCTGAAGATAGCCCAATGTGCGCAAGTATGGCTCCCAGGATACTCCAAAAAACCCAAGAACGCTCCAAGACGGTTCTAAGCGGCCTCCGGGACAACCACTGAATTTGCCTTCTCGCCCTTTCGCTTCCGATGGCTTTCCGAAGCCTCAAGACGGCTCCAAGATGGCACAAGGGAGCCCTGGGAGAAGGCCCAAGAAAGCTTCAAGACGGTCCCAAGAGCGCCCAAGAGCGCCCCAATAGTGCTCCAAGAGCGGTCCAGGAGGCGATTTGCGGGGCCCCCGAGGGACGACCCTAATTGGAGCGCCCCTCTTCTTTGATCGATGCCCTCCAAGATGGCCTCAAGAGGCGCCCAGGAGGCCGCCAGAGGCCCAAAGATAGCCCAACGATGGCCCCAAGAAGCCCCCGAGAGGCCTCCAGGAGGCCCCCACAAGGCCCCCATTCGGCCCCAAGAGGCCCCCCCAATGCACCCAAGACGCCCACGAACCCCCTAGGACCGCCAAAATGCACCCAACACGTCTCAAGAGGCCTCCAAGAAGGACCAAAAGATACCCCAAGGGGCTCCGAGAGACATCCAACAGACCTCTGGCCCTTGCGCTTGCCCTCCTCCTCCTGCTCCTCCTTCCTCCTCCTTCTCCTTCTTTTCGCTTTCCTCCTTTTCCTCCTCCTCCTCCTCCTCCTCCTCCTCCTCTTCCTCCTCTTCCTCCTCTTCCATCCTATTCATCATCCTTCTCCCCACTCCCTCATCCATCTATCCAGCCTCCTCCTTCTCCTCCTCCCACCTTCGAACGGTTCAGCCGTCCCCATCTTGCTCCCGCATTTCCCTGATCACCTCAACTCGCCGGTGCGTCGTTTCTGGATGGGCTGGGGGGGAACTGTTTGGACTTTTTGGTCCGCGGGTGCACGAAACGAGTCGGACGCCGAGCAGGCAGGGGCAGGCGATGCCGCCTGCAGAAGCAAAAACAGAGCAGAGAGCAGAGCCCAGCGTGGGGCGAAGCACTCAGTGCGGCACGTAGGCGAGGAGCACGGCGGGCGGAAGAGGTAGTACCAAAGTACCGCCCAGGCCGCGAAGTTGCCGCCTGCAGAGAGCGTGACTATGATGGCGAGGTGAACTGGTGGGGATACTGTTTGGTCTGCGGGCTCGCGAAGCAGGTCGAAAGCCGTCCGATGACTAGCCGGGCCGCGACTAGGGCAGCAAGAAAAGAGAGGCAAGCAAAGTGAGCGCGCGGGCAGCCACTCAGAAGAAGAAGAAGAAGAAGAGTCACAACTGGTGGGGTTACGCGAGACGTTTAGAATTTCCGTAACCCTAGCACCCTGACGCCCTAACACCTTAGCACAATAGCACCTTTTCAACCCTAAAACCTGAAACACCCTCCGTAACCCGAAGCCCCTCACACCGATGGCCTAACCCTAACCGTAAGCTGCCCAACTCTAACAGAATAACCCTAACCCTGACACCCGAATGCCCAGACCCTGACAGCCCAACCATCAGGCACAAGCCTCCCTGCCCCCACGGCCAGCTTCTCATCCCGAGTGGAGTGCTGACCTTCCCTGAGCCCGGCGAGGGCCCCCGGAGGCCGGGGTGGCCAGAACCACCCCTCGCGGCTTTAGCCACGCCGCGGGCAGGTCGAGGGTCTCTACCTCCTGGGCCGAGCAAGCAGCTGCATGACCACAAACTTTCAACAGGGGCGATGCCGGAGGCACCGTCAGGGGTGCCCAGCGCTGGCCGATCCGAGAAATCCGCGCGGAGCTCAGACAGTTTGAGTCTATGCAGTTGTTTGCCCCTCGAAGATATCACAAGTAGGCGGAGACGTCCAAACGCCGCCCCCACCAACCATCGGTTCTCCTGAACCGGCTTACTTCGCCAGGTGTTCCACGAATTCCGAACCCTACCCCCGCCGCCCATCGGCAGGGGACAAACCTCCCTTTAGTAAACCTCCCATTAGTAAAAACGGCCTGGGACCGAAACCCGGACCTGGACCCGCAAAAATGACGGCCGCGACGCCCTCTCGCGAACCGAAAACGGCCAATTCCTCAATCGACGTGTCAGGGTAGGAGGTCTACCAACCTCCGAGCCCATCGAGTTGCCCGAATCGTCGATCGGCGAAGGGCAGGGTTCGGACTTCGCTGCCGATCTATGCCATCGGTTCGCACCTCGAGGCGACCGCACGATCCGCCACCCTCTGGGTCGAGGGTGTGGGGAGAGGCCGGCTTCTCGCCCGCCCGGTGCCCACCGGCGCGAACTCCGACCGTGGATGCTCATGCAGCCTTTCTCCACCGATTCGCGGCGGCGTCGTCGGTCGTCGTTGTCGTCCGTCGTGCATCGTCATCGCCGTCGCCGTAGTTTTCGTCGTTTCGTCGTCGTCGTCGTCTCGTCGTCGTCGTCGTCGTCGTCGTCGTCGTCGTCCTCGTCGTCGTCGTTTTCGTCGTCGTCCTCGTCGTCGTCGTCGTCGTCTTCGTCTAGGTCGTCGTCGTCGTCCATCATCCGTCGCCTGCGTCGTCCGTGGAGACCGAGCGCGCCGCACGGATCTAGTCCTTGCGGACTTCGTGCCCTGTCGAGTGAGGCCTCGCCCAAACAGAGTGGGCCCAGACGGAGACGAGGCACTCCGTATGTCGGCGGCGGGCGAGGGGGAGAAGTGAGAAGGAGAAGGCCTTCTCGGAAGGCGGCGGGGCTTCTCAGAGGCCCTCGCACCCTCTGAGAAGCTTTTGTGTTCGTCTTCGGGGAAGGTTTAGAAAGCTTCTGATAAGACCAAGGTACGTCCGAGGCTTCTGACAAGGCCCGCCCCTTCTCACTCCCGGGCCCGCCGCCGAGTACAGTGGGGGCCGATCCACAAGAAACCTTCCACAATAAACCAAAACCTGAGACCCAAGGACGTCCATCGATTTTGGGTGTGGGAACGTCTCGCTTTCCACCGCAAAACCCTCGAACCCCCCCCCCAAAAAAAACAGGGCCCCCTGGAGGCAAGTAGGGTGTTTCTTGGCATGGGCCCCCACTGTATGCCCGCCCGCCCGCCAACCCCGCGGCCTATCGCGGTGCGGCGCCCGTCGCGGGCCACCCACCCGCCGGTCCACAGCAGCAGCTCCACGCACTCGCCACCCCGAACGTCGAGCTCGAGCCTCCCCGCCAGGCAAGAGGACTCCGCGGCGCGCTCGCGGCCCATCTCCGACCAGGCCTGGGGGGGGCCTCCTTCTGCTGCTGCTGCTCCTCCTCATCATCGTCCTCCCTCCCTCCTCCTCCTCTCTCTCCCTCCTCCTCCTCCCCCTCCCCCTCTCACTTCTCCTCCTCCCCCTCCTCCACCACCTCCTCCTCCTCCTCCGCCTCCTCCTCCTGCACCTCCCCCTCAACCTCCTCCTCTCTCCTCCTCCTCCTCCTCCTCCTCCTCCTTTGGCGATGTGCATGCGGCAATTTCGTGTCGTGACGACCCTCGGTCGCTGGCTTCTGACACCGCGTGGGTCGTTCGCCCTTGCTTGAACGATTGCGACCTCGCGATAGCGCGGATCGCTCGATGCCGACCGATTCCAGGACACTGGCCGCGTTTCACCCTGAACGCCTGCGCTGGCGTCGCCGGCGCGTCGACACGACACGAGCCTGCCAGGTGTGCGTGCGGCGATGTAGATATAAGCAACCACCTGTCGAACACTGCTCCTGGAGGTCTGGTTCTGGAAACGCCTTCTGGGATCAGACTTTGAAGGATATTCGCAGCCACGTGAACTCAAGCAAGGGTCTCCGATACCCCAGCGCCGATTGGACCAGTAGGGGTATGTTCGCCAAGGGCCGCAGAGTGGACGCTCTGGGCGGTGATCCTCCGTGCCGAAACAGGCCAATGAGGGGGCGGGGGAAGAGGAGTGAGTGGAAGAAGGGGGAAAACATGGAGCAAAAATTCCAGCCGACATCCTCGCGTCGTGGCAAAGGTCGCGGCGGAAAGTGCTTGGTCAACTTAACTTTCGGCCTCCGGGAGGCCTCCACACGGCTCAGGAACTGTTCCCCTCGGGAAGGAGTGGGCTGGACCTCCAGGGGAGTCACGCAGCGAACAACGATCATGGCGCCGGGGTGTCCCCAGGGGTGCGTTCTAGCCAGAACTCTGCGGCGAATCCAGCCGTGGCGACGATGGCTCTCCAGGACGAGCAGCGGTCATAGGTGATTACAGTAAATCAGAAATTGAACTGGAAGAACTGAAACTGAACATTCCATGAAAGTGGAGATGACCAGGGTTGCACAAACCTGCAGCGGCCTGAAACGAGCCCAAAACAGACAAAAACGAGGCCGCCCAGGCTGGAAACACTCGAGGGGAACCCGGCCAGGACCGGAAGGAGTGAACGGGCTGGCCCCGCACTTTCCCCATCTTTGCCCTGCATGTCGGAGGAGGGCGGGTTCAGACAACGGCAGCGCCAAATCAATCCCCGTACCCCTCCTGGGGTCCAAACGTGCCAGTCTTTTGAGCTGCGTCCCGCCCCCCGGAGACCAACTACGGTTGTCTCAACTGGCCCTCCTCGGAGCGAGATCTTCCCTCCTCGGAAACGCCTGAGCACGGCCTGCGTGACCTTCCCCGCGGAAACCAAGCTACCGATGCCGCTGCTCCCCAGACCTCTCCAGGGATGCCGCTGCTCCTCAGACCTCTCCAGGGATGCCGCTGCTCTCCAGACCTCTCCATGTCATAGAGAATGCAGCCGTGGCGACGAGGGATCTCCAGGACGAGGGGACGAGCAACGGTAACGATATCTGTTCCTCCCCTGATGAGCGGCGGGCGAGGGGGGACAGTGAGAAGGGGCGGGCCTTCCCGATCACACAAAAACCTCTCAGAAGGACAGAGGCTTTCTGAGGAGCCCCGCCTTCTTCTTCGGGGGCGGACAAGAGGGGGGCGTCCAAGAGGGGGGGTGCAAATCATGGCCGGGGCTTGTGCGCGGCCCAGGGGGGGGGGTCCATTGAAAAAAAAAGAGGCGCCATGAAATCTGAGGAAATCATGGCCCCCGCCATGATACCCCCCCCCCCCCTTGTCCTCACCCCCCTCCTGGCCGCCCCCGCCTTCTGGGAAGGCCTTCTCCTTCTCCCTTCCCTCCCCCTCGTTCGCCGCCAGTGATCCCCTCCTCGGTAGCGCCTGGGAAGTGGCCTCGCCTCGCAGCGCGTGCTCCCACAGCAGCGAATAGCTCCCCGCGTCGGCGAAGCGGCCGTCCGCGGGCAGCGGGAGCGCCGGGGCTGGAGGCCCCCCGGCCACCGACAGGTCCGCCCGCAGCAGCTCCTCCAGCAAGTCGGCCTGGAAAGGCGCGAGCGCATGGGGAGCGATAAGTAGAGAAGTCAAACAAATCCATCCCCATAAGAACCACCCCGACACGCGAGATACTTTAATGAACGCACCCAAGGATAGAATCGAAAAAGGCAAGGCTGATGAATAAGAACGCCCAGGGCCGTGTAGTAAACGCCGATTGTCCGGTCCGGGTGTTGTTTTTCCTCCCTTGAAAATAAGGGGGGGGGAGAGGTACCCTTTTCGGGCCCGGGCCCGAAAAGCCCCTGAAGGCCCCAAAGAGCCCCTTCAGGGGCCCTATAGGGGGCCTTGTCGGCAGCCCTCGCTGCCCTTCATGTCGTCGCCCCCTCCCTATTACGCGACCTCCGAGCCTGGTGGTCGCGGCCGTCCTCTGGGACCTGCACCTCCAGAGGCCTCCCAGATGGGGTCGAAGCAGGCGAGCGACGGAACGAGGCGGGTCTTACGCACCACGCCACAGCAGCCGCACGTGGTGGCCTACGCGGGCGGAGCGTGGCACACCGAGTGGAGAAAAGGGAACCCATGCGCGACCTTGCGCGGGAAACTTGCGCGTGAATGTCTGGGCATCCTGCCCTGACTTCTTCCGTCGCTCAGATGGGGCCGGATCGCGCCACATCGCCGATGCATTGCCGATGCATCGTCGATGCATCGGCGGCGTGGGCGATGCAGTGCGGCGCTATCCTCCGACCCCATCTGCTCGGAACCCATTTAAGAGGCCTGGAACCTCCTGGTCATCCGCGGCCCTGGCGTTCCCAGTGTCCTCAGATGGGGGAGACGCAAAGATCGAGTCCTGGGGGATTTCTCGGGCCGGTCGTCGTCGGGGATCTTCTGGCGCGGGTCAATCCAGACCCGGGTCAGTCAGGCCGTGCAAGATCCTGCAAAATCCTGCTAATCATGCGGGATCCTGCAGCCAAGCCTGGGTCAGTGCGCCCTGCAGGATCCTGCATGATCCAGCGCTCTGACTGACCCCCGTTTGCATTGACCCCCGTCTCTTGAGCCCCGACCAGCGCTGCCCCGCCCCCCCCCAGCGCCAGGCGGAAGCGCGGCGCCGACCGCAGATCGCCGCGCAGACTTTCTCGAAGTTGCTGTTTACGGTCGGAGGACTGCCGGCAGTGGATGCCCGAGAGGGCACAAGGCTCCCCCGAGAGGGCAACCAACCCCTCGCCATTGCCCAGACGTCCAATTCTCGTACATGGTTCGGCTTCGTGCGTCGATGTGTTTCGCAAGATAAGCCGAAGTGTTCCTCGATGGATCTTGCCGAGAAGATCACACGTCCGAGCGATGCCTTTAACCTTGCTCCAGACACGAAGAAGGCACGAGGCGCGACGTTTCGCAAGATAACCCGGAATGTTCCGCGATGGATCTTGCCGAGAAGAGCACACGTCCGAGCGATGCCTTTAACCTTGCTCCAGACACGAAGAAGGCACGAGGCGCGACAAACAGTGCATATACAGGGGGCACCCTCGATCCGGCAGGGCCGACCTGCCAACTCAGACCCGACCCCAGACATCCGACATCCGAACCTCGACATCCGACGGTGTGGCTCTCAAGAAGTCTGGTACTCCTCCAGAGGACAGCCAAACTCAATCCGAGTCGTCTTATTGACTGACTCGGGACTCGGTGAGAGCCCCCGAAGGCAGAGTGGGCAAAAACATGTCGTCGTGATTTGTAGATAATCTGGCTTTCGGGTCATAACTCGTACTGGGGTCTGCGGCGGCCGTTCGGGCCGATTCGGGCACCCGCGGAACGCTCTCGGCAAGGCGCAGCCGCAGACCTCCAAGAGCAGACGGAGGCGTCCGAAAGCTTACGCAAACATGGATTAGCGATCCATGGGTTTGGTGCGCGGTCGCCAAATCCACGGATCGGGGGAAATTCCCTGTCCAAAATGCGGCCGGTGACGCCTCCTTCGACGGCGGAAATCCGCGATGTCCCATGGAAGCGGGACCCGTCGCTAATCCACGCCCCCATTGATCCATATATGCGATCGCCTGAAAGGTGCCCCTGGCCCAAGGACTTGCCATCGCTCGGACGTCCAGTCTCCGTGCATTTGACGATGCAAGCTGACCAAAGATGCTCCTCGGTGGTCCTCGCGGAGAAAAATGCACACGTCCAAGCGATGCCAAGAGGAGTCTCCCCAAGGTATCCAGGGAGGTCGAGAAGATGGCCTTCATTAGGGGCACGAACAATGGCATAAACATAACAACTCGGAGGTCCGCGCGGAGTTTTCTCTGATCGGCGCTCGACCCCCCTCCCTGGAGCGCGGAGCGCGCCAGGGGCGGCACCGAAGGCGCCGCCAGGGGGCCCCATCGCCGATCAGAGAAATCCGCGCGGACCTCAGGGTTTTGATGTTTATGCCATTGTTCATTCCCCTATTCATGGCACCCCTCACTGGTCCCAGGGTCTCCAGAGTGGCGCAGATTTGCTGGGGACACCTCGGGTCAGGACTTCTTTCGGCTCGGAAGTGGTCAGGGAAGTCTGCACTAGATGGGCCCAAGAAAATCAGTCAAGAGGGAGGGCACCAACGCAATCCCCTCAAGATCGGTCCCAAAATCCCTCTGGGGGTCGAAACTGGAGAGTTGTTCGAGTCGCGTCCAGCCGTGGCGACGAGGGGGACCCTTTTTCCTCCCACCTCACCTTCTGCTGGCTGGAAGCAACGCGTGGCCACCTCTCAGGCTGCAGCCAACTTTAGAGGAATAACGAAAATGGACACACAGAAACTTTGCGAGGTCCGCGCGGATCTCTCGGCCCTGCGCTGAAACTCCTTCCTGGCGCGCTCCGCGCGCCAGGGGCGGCGCCAGAGGCGCCGCCAGGGGTGCCCATGCGCCGACACAAGAGATCTGCGCGGAGCTCCGAAAAGGTATGGGTACACAATCGTTTCTTCTCCGAGGCTCCAAGCCGTGGGCAGCTCCCGAAGCGTACGCATGGCCGCCACGTTCTGCGGCAACTCAAGGGAGCCTCCCATACCATCGCGTGGGCTCTTGCGGATCGGCGCCAATCGACGCCACATCGGCGCTATCTGATCGATTACCAGACGATGGTCGACGCCAGCGTATCCTGAAAACGGAAGTGCGATGGCGGACAAAACTTCCATGGTTTGTGACCACAGCCATGGACTGCACGTCGGTCCTCCCGCCGCAAACCGCCGCCCCCGCTGCGCGCGCCCTCGGCCGTCAGCCGGGGCCTCGCCGGCCGCAGCGCCGACCTCGCGACACACCCGATGCGGGTAGCGTAGGCGGGATGGCGATCACCGACACGTTGCTGCCATGAGGCAGGATCACTGAACATCCCATCGGGAAATCGGATCAGATCCGAATGTGCGTCGGATCGGGCCGCATCGGCACGGAACTGGAACCGCATCGGATCGGCCGCGCCGGGATGCACAACAGTGTCATGACCGGCCCGCATCGGATCGTCGGCATGTCGGATTCGAAACGGATCGAGCTGGCCACGATCGACATCGGATCGGCCCCATCGGATCGAAGCAGACCCTGTCGGGAAAACTGAATAGGGAACGAAGGGGATTGTATGGCCACGGCGAACCTCGGCCACGAAGATCGGGAGCGGCCAAGAGGGGGGTGTCCAAGAGTGGGGGGTGCAAATCATGACCAGCGGCATGTGCGCGACCCAGCGGGGGGGCCAGGAACGTAATGAAATAAGAAGAGGCGCCATGAAATCTGGAAATATCATGGCCCCCGCCATGATATCCACCCCCCCTAGTCATCACCCCCCTCTTTGCCGCCCCCGAGAAGAGGGTCCCCCGACCCAGATCTGAGGAGCGACCCGGGAATCGGAGCACCTCCCGAGCCCCAAATTGCTACAACAAGACTGCAAGCAAGAACCGAGGACTACTGCTCATCACGGTACTTTTTCCGCCACTGGGCCAAAGGATTGAGAAAGCGATAGAACAATACACAATGCGGACGACGGCACCGACAACGAGCAGGCCTGGAATCCAATGCACGAACCACTCGCCTAAGGCCCCGGGCACTGCTGCCTGACGCCCCTCCCCCCCGGGCATCTCTAAATCGCCATCCTGCACTACGGAGCATACCGACACGATGCCCACAACAGTAAATGCTGTCCAAAACCGACAGCGGCCCTTGTTGGGCAGGCATCATCTGCTGCCCCCCTTGTTGGGCAGGCATCGTCCCAGACAGCGACGCCCCAGGAAGGGGTCCAGACCTCTGGGGAGCCACGCTGTGGAACAGAATCACGACGCCAGATGTCTGGGACAGCGGCCGCTGTTGGGCAAGCGACTTGTCATCCCAAGCGGGCGACTTCCGCGGCGGCAGCAAACTCTGCCGCAAAATTGACAGGAAACTGCAATCGGTCTGCGTGCGCATCTTCTTCTTCTTTCGGGCGTTGCCAGATCTGTCCGTGGCCCAAAGGACCCACAAGATTTCCCAGGCGGCCCCGACCTGCAATATGGGCGATGCATCGGCAATGCATCGGCGTGGAGCCAATCGAGCAGCACATCAAGCCGCATCGCCGATGAATCGGCGATGCGCAGCGATCCTCCGACACCATCCCCTCGGTCCCATCTGGGAGGCCTGTAACCTCCTGGCCTCCCACGGCCCTGGCACGCCCAGCGTCCAAGTTCGGTGATTCGTGAGACGCAAGTTCTGGGGACTCCCTAACGGGGCCGTCTGAAAAAAAAAACGGGATCGACATGAGACTTGACGTGAACTGCGCCTGCAAGCCGCTCACGAGACGTCGACCGTCACAGTCCATGCAGAGGCCGCCAAAAGGTGGCGCCAGACAGGGACTCCGGCGGACTCGAGCCTTACGCGTCCCCGAAGGATGGAAGGCGCAAAAACTACACCACCATGAACTGTCGGATGTCCGTGCGGATTTCTTGGGACGGTCGGCGCTCGCCCCCCCCCCCCCCCTGGCGCGCCACGCGGCGGGGCGGCGCGTGGGGCCCAGCGCCGACCGCAGAACTCCGCGCTTCGCCATCGGCCGGACGTCCATTCCCCGTGCTTCTGTCGATCTCGTGCGTGTCTTTGTGTCGCAAGGTTACCCAGGGAGTGTTCCTCGGTGGTGCCTGCCGAGAAAGGCTGCACACGTCCGAGAGCGATGTCGAAACACTTGCTCTACACACGAAGGAGGGCACGAGACGCGAAAGGCAGGGCACACAGGGGCACCCTCGGTCCTGCAAGGCCGACCTACCAATCAGACCCGACCCCAGACATCTGACGTCGGGATCCATCCATGGCGTGGCTCTCCAGAGATCTGGACACCCTCCGGGGGACGAAGCTTGTTCACCCCGAGTCGTCCTGTGGACTGCCCTGGGGCTCGGTGAGGGCCCCCCGAGGGTGAGAGTGGGCAAACAAATCCGTTGTGACTTGTTCAAGACGCGATAGGATCTGACCTTCGGGGCATGCCTTGCGACCTGTGGTCGACTGCAGCCGTTCGGGACTACTCGGGCACCCCAAGCACGCTCTCTGCGAGGCGCAGCTGCAGGAGAGCGCCGCGAGGCTTGAAAACCGCCGAGAACCGACGAAACCGTCCGAAGACTTCGAACCACGAAATCTTCGGAACATTCAAACTTCGACGCTCGAACCGCCTCTGGAACTTCGTCGTTACGGACTTGCGCCCCCATCTCAATTCGGTGGCGACATCCGAACCGTAACCCTGAAGGTCTTTAGAACCCCCCCAAGGAAGGGAAAAACTAATTATTTGTTCGGCAGCCTTATTGAAGGACTGGGGTCTTGACAGCAGGGGGTAACTAATTGTGTTCCGCGGCGCCTGCCGCACAACAACGACGACGACAGCTACGACTACGACGCGCATCAACGGAGGAGGAGGAGGAGGAGGAGGAGGAGGAGGAGGAGGAGGCTTGAGGACCAGTCCTTTTCACCGAAGGCTTTAGCGGCTACCCCCGACGCCCATCGGATCGTTGATCGGCGAGGGTGCTGTCGGGAACTTCTGCTCAGAGTGTCGCGGCGGCGGCCCCGGCGACGAGCAATGCCTTGCAAGCGGACAGCGTGTCGCTCCGCTCCGCGGGGCGGGAGGCCGAGAAAAGCTGAGGCAGTTGACGCTGGGGGATACGGATGTGGACAGCATCATGAGCTGACACGTGGTGGGCCAGAACTGGCGGAGCGAGACGTCATCGAAGAGTTCGTGACAGCACGGCTCGGACCGATCGCACCGACCGATCACCGATCGCACCGACAGATCGCCGATCGATCCTGCGACCGGACCGTAGGGCTCGGACCGACCGTAGGGTTCGTATTCCGCTGCCGATCGATCGCGCCGATTGCCAGCCGCAGCCGCACCGACCTCAGCCGCTGAAACAGTCCGCCCCCGCGACATCCGGACCCTACCCCCACCAACCATCGATTCTCCTGAATCGATAGGAGGGGAAGGGATAGGGTTCGGATTTCGCATCGTGCTCGACGAATTCCGAACCCTCCCCCGCCGCCATCCAGTTCACTGAATCGTAGATCGGCCAGGGTAGGGATCGGATTTCGCTGCAGATCCTGGACCCCCGTGCAAAGCGTTGAATGGACCAGCGCCCCAGGGGGTCCCACCGACCTCCTAAAGCTTACAATGTCCTCTGCTGTGGAGGAAGAGGGGACGCGATCACAGGAATCCACAGGTCTGTGCCTCAACCGCTGTGCGAATGCAGATGTCGCCATGAAAACCAGGAACTCTAGAAGAAGTAAAACTGCATAAGCATAAACTCTCTTCGCATGGGGGAACCGCGTCATGTGAGAAACGGGTCCTGGACCCTGGGGCCTTCTCGCAGGACCAGTTCCTCATCCTGAGCCGTCTTCTGACGGTCCTGGGGCAGGGCTGGACCCAAACGTTATTTTTCGTGTTGTGTTCGCTTTGTGTTTCGTGTTGCTCCACCTGTGTACCTGGAACCTCCACCCAAAACGAAAAACAAAAGCACAGCCGAAGCCCAGCAAAACAGCGCTCAGGTCCTGCCCTGCCCTGGGAACCCGTGGAGGGCCCCGCGGGCCCGCAGGCGGGAAACGCCCGGGGGCCCGCTTCCCCCGTGGCGCCAGCCGGAGCTCCGCCGCCGCTCGGGAGCCTCGAGACGGGGTTCAGTGCAGACGGGGGTCAGCCAGGGCGCCGGATCCTGCAGGATCCTGCGAAGACCCCCTCTGGCTGACCCGTGTTAGCGAGCCGCTCGTGGCCGCGAGGCGGCCGCGCCTGTATTGGCCGACCCGGGCTTGCGAAGACCTGCGTTGCAGTTGTTTTTGTTTCCTGCACTGCAGTTTCTGGTTTCCTGCTGACCCGGGTCTGGATTGACCCGGGTCAGAAGATCCCCGAGCCGCTCGATCGCACCGATCGCCGGCCGCGGCCGCGCCGACCTCCGCGGGTCCGCGGCGGGCCCGCCGTCCGCCGCGGCCTCGGCGGACGGCGGCCGCTTCAGCGCGGGCCGCCGGCCCCGTGGCGCCTGCGCCGCGCCCGCCCGGGGCGCGGCGCGCGGCAGCGGGGCGGGCTGCGCACCTCTCGGGGCAGTGCCGAGGAGGGGGGGGGGCTCCTCCCTCCTCCTCCTCCCCTCCTCCCTCCTCCTCCTCCTCCTCTCCTCCTCCTCCTCTCCTCCTCCTCCTCCTCCCTCTTCTTCTCCTCCTCCTTCTCCTCTTTCTTCTCTTCTTCTCCTCCTCCTCCTCCTCCTCCTCCTCCTCCTCCTCCTCCTCCTCCTCCTCCTCCTCCTCCTCCCCCTCCTCCGCCTCCTCCCTGTTACCGCTGACCCCCGAGGTCCGACGTCGCGGACAAACATACAGCAACGCGACCAATGACGGCCAGAGCCCCAGATCTCATCCTCTGCTGCAATTTCCGAGTTCGATCGATATGTGATGCCCCCGGGGCCCGAAACCGCTTGCGAAAACGCCCAGTGAACAAAAATGCAACGCCCAGGTCTCAGGGACTTGGAGGTGGCCGCAAGGTCTGAGCACGATCTGCTATGAGACAATCAGCCAAGAAGAATTTATAAAAGGCAAATCCGCTCAAAATCGGTCCCTGGACCCCTCGGATCCGTTTTTGACTGTCCCGGGGCCCAGAAACGGCTCCTGGAGGCCGAAAGAAGCAAAACAGCGTCTCGATCCCAGAACCTCAGACCTCGCCCCACCCCTTCCTGCTGGCAAGAACCAGTGCATTGGCCACCTCAGACTCCCAGCCGGCTTCTTCGAGGGACAAACAAATTGCATAAGCATTAACTGTCGGAATTTCGTGCGGATTTCTTGGATCGGCTCTGGACCTGCGCCGGAAGCGCCAGCAGGGGGACCACATCGCCGATCATAGAAATTCGAGCGGTGCTCCGAAAGTGTATGGTCACGTCACTTCTTGTTCCTCGACCGTTGCCTGCGCTCTTACATCCCCCCTCTTTGACCTCCCCAGAGATCCAGAACCTCGGACCTCGCCTCCCCCTTTCCTGCTGGCCGAAACCAATGCTGGGCCACCTCGGACCCCCAGCCAGCTCCAATAAGGGACGCCAGTTGCAAGACGTCTGGCGTCTCGATGTTTTTGAAAGTCAAGCCCCCGAGCTCTCGACCACTTCCCCGGGACCAGCCTGTCATCCCGAGTCGTTTTTTTGACAGTCCCGAGGCCCAGTGAGGGCCCCGAGAGGTCAAAAACTATGAAAAATCTTCGTCCCGATCTTGGCGAGACGCTGGATGTCTGAGCATCGTTTACCGGATCCCTATCGCCACGGGCGTGGCCTGGGCACCACTGGCCGATCTACCTCCCTTGATAGGGACGTGGGCTGTTCCCTTCGAGCTTCGAGGCGCATGTCCCCAGCTGGGGTGGTGGGATGGTGGGGATGGGGATGGGGATCGGCTAAACGATACTGAATGTCTGAGACCCGCGCTGGATGTCTTGTAAGGGGGACCAGTGCGTCCCCCCCCTGCGCCGCTCCCCCCCGCGTGGCCATCCCGAGCTCTCGAGCTATAACTCGGCTCTCCGGCGGCCGTTCGGGAGCGGCTCTGGACCCCCAGGAACACCCTCAGCGAGGTGCAGCTGCTGCACAACATCCCGAGGCAAGGAAGCCGACGAGAACGCACGAAAACGCCCGAAAACGCGCGAAGAGCCGATTCCCCCCCGTGAATGAGCATCACTTGACCGATCCCTATCCCCAAGGGCGTTGCCAAGGCCCCGCTGACCGATTGGCCCCCCTGGATGGGGATCTGGGCTGTTCCCGTCGGGCTTCGAGGGGCATATCCGGATTCCGCTTCGCTTCGGCTCCGTCTGGCCCGTCTGCTGTCCAGGCGAGCGCCCGAGGAGGGCGGGGAAGGGGGACACGAATTCAAAAATAACTGCATGCCGGTTTTAGATATCATCAACCCGGGCGCCGCCGCGTGAGCACGACCCGCGGTAATTTCTGAATCATCAGAATGTGGGGGCTGAACGGTCATTCACTATCCCTTGGCGCGTGGCTGAAATGGGATTCCGCGGTGTATTGTTGCGTTGTGACTTGTGCGTCGTTGTTGCTGCTGTCACGTTGAATGTGTTGCTGTTGCTGTTGTTGTCGTTGTTGTTGCTGGTGTTGAACTCTTCTCTACGAAATCATCATGGTTGATCGCCTCCTCTGGTGCAATGTCGAATGCTCCGATTGCACTGCTCCTCCTGGCACACTGTATTTTACAAGGGCTACAACAACAACAACAACAACAACAACAATCATTTTACCCGAACGCTCAGTGTTCTCCCCAGTGCCAGGGTTTTCATGCGACGCCAGCCAATACCCCCACTTCGTGGGGGGGCAATGCAAGCTCTACCAAACATCCACACGACTCTCGGGAACCACCCACACCCAGCTTCCCGCCCTATGACGTCAGGACACTTCACTTCGTGGCGCGCGGACGATCGTGGATACTACACTGGCGTGGAGTACACACCCGCAGAGGTTGATCACTTGTTTGGGCCCCGCATGTGCCCCGCTTATTGGATCCTCCCGGAGGACTCTTGGAGCCGCTTGGACGCCTCCTGGAGCCATCTTCGGGGCCTCTTGGAGCCAACTTGGAGCCTCTTTGGAACCTCTTGGGGGCCTCTTGGAGTCCTCTTGGGGCCTCTTGGGACCATCTTGGGCGCCTCTTGCGGCCTCATGGGCGCCTCTTGGGGCCATCTTGAGCGCCTCTTGGGGCCATCTTGGGTTTTAAAGATTCATGAAGAGCCCGCGGGTGGATTTTGATATTTTTCGGATGAGAAAGTCTTGCGTTTGCATATGTTTTCGGAACATCGCATCTTGAAATTATTGAAATCACATTATGTTTGGCAGGATTTCGGCACGCGCGCGCGGCGGCCGCGCGCATGTGCACTTCGTGTCATTTTTTGCAAGGGATGGTGGCCCTCGTAGGCTCGCAACCGTTGTTGCAGAAGGTCGAAGCACCTGAAAAGGTTCCTCGCAAAGGCCCTTTTAACAGAAATGTTTAAAATCTGGTGGGTTTCCTAGGAATCCGCAAGAGCGCGCGGAAGGACATTTTGACATTTTTTTCTGAGAAAACCATTGGGTTTTTGATGTTTTTATGTTAAAATCGTTACGAAACCTAAGGTTTTGGAAGGATTTCGTCTTGCGCGCACGAATGTCCACTTTACCTTATTTTTTGCAAGGGATTCTTGCAATTTGATCAAGTAAGAACAAGAATTTTCATTTTATAGTGTTTTTTGCAAGGGAAAACGGAGTACAACAAAACAACCGGATCCGGTAATAATTCACTTTTCTGAAGCTTTCGCTAAAAAATGATGAAAATGTAGCTGCGGCCTAGGTTTTGGAGGGGGGTCGCGCACCAGGGGTCCCAACAATAATTATTCTTTAGAAGTAATAATGTTCAACAACAACAACAACAACGGCTCTATTCCGGTACTTCCTCTGTTTATTCCAAGATCGCGCTCTCACGCGGAATCCTCACAATGTATGCAAGAATCGCGCTCTCGCGTGGGACATCCTCGCAGCTTACTCAAACCCCGCGCCCTCGACGCTCAGGAGTCATGCTCTCGCTCTGGCGCGTCTCACGATGTACTTGGGAATCGCGCAATCGCTCGAGACATTCTCGCGGTTCATGCAGGAGTCACGCTTCAGCAACCCGCCTGCTCGACCTGACCGCCCGGGCCCGCCTGTTAGAGTCTTCGGGCCCGTCTGGTTCTGCCACGTGCTTTCTGCTCGTAGTCCCCCTCCTGCTAATCTCTCTCGTACTCCATCCTTCACCCTCCCCCTTCCATCCATCCTCTCTTCCCCTGTTTTAGGGGCTGCGCGAATTTCATGTGGCAAAGTAAGGAGGATAAACCCCTAATGGGGGAGACGATCCAAGACGAGGAGGGCGGATATTGAGGATTTGTGATGCACTTCATGGATGGCACGTGGGCTGGTAAGAACGAACAATCTCTCAAAATTAGCCTGGCAGCAGACCAACCATAAGCAGTGATTCACAGCGCAGTTGTGAGTCCCACTTTCGGTGGATCCTCCCATGCGGCCACGAAACGTGTGAGGGGCCTGCCAAAGTGGCCCGTCGGCGGCAGGCGGCCTTTTCCACTGGGGCTTTCGGTGGAGCACCCTACGGGGCCACGAAGCGTGCGAGGGGTGCGCCAAAATGTGGGACGGAACCACATGCGGGCGCTGCCACTGAGTGGGGCCTCAAGTGGAGCACCCCATGGGGCCACGGAACGCCTGCGGGTTCGCCGAAATGGGGGGAACTGCATGCGAACGCGCCACAGAGGCCTTCGGTGGAGCTCCCGATGGGGGCCCCGAAACGTGTGAGGGGTGTGCAGACATGGCGAGATGGCGGCATGCGGGCCCTAGCACTGGATCCCTCGGTGGAGCTCCCTATGGGGCCACGAGTGTGAGGGGTGTGCCGAAATGGCGAGGTGGCGACATGCGGGCCCTGGCGCTGGGGCCTACGGTGGAGTTCCCTATGGGGCCACGAAGCGTGTGAGGGGTGTGCAGACATTGCGAGAGGGCGCCATTCGGTCCCTGGTATTAGGGCCTTCGGTGGAGCTCCGTGCGGGGCTACGAAACATGAAGGGGTGTGGCGACATGGCGAGGTGGCGGCATGCGGGCCCTGACACTGGGGCCTTCGGTGGAATTCCCTATGGTGCCCTAAAACGTGTGAGGGGTGTGCCGAAATGGCGCGGTGGCGACATGCGGGCTCTGGCGCTGGGGCCTTCGGTGGAGCTCCGTATGGGGCTACGAAACGTGTGATAGTCGTCCCGAAATAGCGAGGTGGCGGCATGCGGGCCCTGCCACTGGGTCCTTCGGTGAGCTCCCTATGAGGCCACGAAGCGTGTGAAGGGTGCGGCGAAACAGAGACATGTGAAGAGCAGAGGCGAGAAGGGGAGAAGTGAGGAGGGGGAGGAGGAGAGAGGAGAGGAGAGGAGAGGAGAGGAGAGGAGAGGAGAGGAGAGGAGAGGAGAGGAGAGGAGAGGAGAGGAGAGGAGAGGAGAGGAACGCGGGGCGCTCTCTTCAAAACAAAGACCCAATCCCGCAGGATGGTTGGGAACAATTGTTATTGTCGTCGTCGTCCTCGCCGGCGACCCACCCGCGACCCACCCCGCGACCCACCCGCCAACCCACCCGCGACCCACCGGCGACCCACCCACAATGCTTTGACGAAAATTCGGCGCCCGCGGCGGGATCATTGCGCAACGTGTCAACACAATGGGCGCCTGCGGCGGGCTTCTTCAGAGCATCGCAGACTGCCAACGACCCCGCCACACCCTCACTCTTGTCCGCAACGGCGGTGCGCAATGTTCTCCTGCATCAGGGATCGGCTAAACAATACTGACTAACTCGGTTCCGAGCCCAGAAGGGAAATCAGACGGGGCGGGCCTTCTCAGAAGGCTCCGAAGTACTCCGGCCTTCTGAAAATGTTTCTCAGCCTTCTGCGAAGATGCAGCAAACTTCTCAGAAGGCGCGAGGGCTTCTGAGAAGCCCCGCCGCCTTCTGAGAAAGCCTCCTCCTGCTCCCCCCCCCCCTCGCTCGCCGCCGACTGAGGTTGCCCCTGCCGTTGGCCCCCCCAGAGGTCTCGTCCCTTTCCCTAGGGCCGGTTTTTTTATCCAGAGTGTTTTTTGACAGTGCCAGGGCCCAGCGGGGGCTCTCGGAGGCCGAAATCAGCTAAAATCCGCCTGCATCTCTAGCTTTTGCCTCTCCCGATCGGCTACACGCAAGAGTGACCTTTGGTGCGCGCGTCTCTGGGTCGCCTCGCGTTCGTGGATCGAGGGGCCCCAATGGGCCCGCACCGAAGGTCTCTCCTGCGAAGGGCCCCTCTTACTCGGCGGCGGGCAAGGGGGGGAAGCAAACTCTCAGAAGGCGAAGGGACTTCTCAGAAGCCCTCGCGCCTTCCGAGAAGCTGCCTGCGCCTTCGGGGAAGGCTCCGCAGAACTCCTCGGAGGGCCTGGGGACGTCCGAGCCTTCTGAGAAGGCCTTCTTCTCCCTTCCCCAGAGGCGCCCACACTCGCGCTCCCGCGCCGCCCCTCCGGGGAGAAGAAGAGGACTAGGATGAGTCGGAGCCGAACCGCGAACCGCGAAGCGCGAATCACCTCGCGCCCTCGAGGTTGGCAGGGACCGGCCGTCCCGGCATTCCTATAATCCTACCACGAAGTGTTCTTACAGCCCAAAAATGCTCGAAAAACAAATACAATGTAGTGAGAAAATTAGCCCGATGTGTTAAACCAAGGCAGTCTCAATCAGACATGTTCTAAGAACATGTCGTGCAAACCACGAAAGGTTCTCATAACATTCTTTGGTGGGGCTATAGGCGTGCCAGGACGCTTCGCCACTGCTTGACGAGGGCGCCCTTGTTCCCCCCCTCGCCCGCCGCCGACTTAGAAGTCTCGTCGACCCGAGCCTTCGGCACGGCCCGCGGCGGGCGGCCCCTCCACGCCCGGGACCGCGGGGTCTGTGGCGGCCTGCTCGGGCGCACCACGGGGGGGCGGCCCAACAGCGGCCTGCAGGGTGTGGGGGGGGCCTCGTCGCCCCCCCCCTCGCAAGAGCGGCCTGTACGGCCCCTCTTTGCGGGGGGTGGGGGGGGCGACACGGCTAGGATGGCCAGGGGCAGGGCAGAGGATCAGCTGGCGTATAATCGGAGGCCAACCCCCAAGGGGGGGGAGCGAGAAGGGGCGGACCTTCTCAGACGGCTCGAACCCCCCCAACCTTCTGAATTAGGTCGGGCAACTCCTCCTACAAGGCGGATAGCGCACGAAATGTGAAAAAAAAATCCAACAATGTTCAACATATGTAAACATAGACTCTATGTTCACGGTCTAAAATGAAAGAAAAATCGTCCCCTGACGATTTTCTTGCTATGTTTGGATCCGTGTCCTGTAGAGGGACTCGCGCCCGACTTCACCACATCGTCGCCTCATCTTGCTGGCAACCACCGACCCTCGCACTGCCGGCATCCTCTGGAGAGTTTCGGGCGCCAGGGTTGCTTTCAGCCTTGCGACGACAATTCCCCGTGCGTGTGCATTTTTCTTTGTCGCGCATTCATTTCTTCGCAAAAAGCCCCAACATGTTCCTCGACGGTCCCCGCCCGGAAAAACACCGCACACGCCCGAGTGATGCCAAGCAGTGATGCCTGCATGCCCCCCTGCGGCCACCGGAGACCCGAGCCAGGACCCCACGAACCGGACCCCCCCAGGTCGCGCACGGCATGCACGGGGGAAGGCCTTCCGCCGTCGCCGCCCCCGCGGGCCCCTGGACCGTCAGACAGCGCGCAATCCGTGCAGGCCCCGAGCAGCAGCTCGGGAGGAGAGGCTGCAGCTCCGTGGAGAGGGGGCCGGGGCTTGGAGGTTGCTGAAGGACCAACGCTGTTTCCAGGGCCAGATCCCAGCACGCTCGGCCAGCACGCCTGATCCGCCTGTCCACTCGCGACACGTGCTGATCTTAGGTTTGCTCTTGACGACGATTGGGTTGCTGTCGGGCGCGGCCTAACCGACCCATGGCAAACCATCCCCTCTCGTGACGCCACCTTCGCCTTCCAAGTTTTTGTCCGGCCGCTTAAACACGTCTTATGGCGAGGCGAGAGGGACGTCAAGGAAGGGAATGGTTTGCTGGGGTCAGCTATGCCGCCCCTGATGCGTAGGGTTGGTCTGACCCTCCGAACGCTGACCCTGTGGATTGTACGGGAATGGCTGTATGGGCACAGAGAGACACGATGCACAAACAGGGGGACCCGTGCTAGAAGAGAGCACGTTCTCTTTCCTTTTACGGAGGCGTGGGCGCGTCCGTCACCCGCGCGCCATGATAGCTCAAGGGCCCTTGTGAGCCGATTTGGCGGCGCACAAGGGAGTGCAGAGAGAGGCGCAGGAGGAGGAGAGGCTGACAGGGGCCTGACAACCACATACCCCCTTCTTCCGTCGCCCCAGAAACACAAATCACGTTCTCGGGGGGGCCAAGAGGGGGGCGTCCAAGAGGGGAGGGCGCAAATCATGGCCGGCGCGGCCCAGCGGGGGGGGGCAGGAACGCAGTGGAATAAAAAGAGGCGCCACAACATCAGAGGAAAAAACATGGCCCACGCCATGATGGCTACCCCCCCTAGTCATCACCCCCCTCGTTGCCGCCCCCGACGATCGCTGCCCCCTCAGCGAACTTCAAGCCGGGACTTCCAGGTGCCGCGAGCATTTCAAAAAACCGCGAGGCCGCTGGAGCACCCAAAGCATCCGCGGTGCCGCCACCGCCGCCGCCGCCGGCCCCGCCGTGCAGAATGTGCTGCGTCGCGGCCGACAGCCGGTGGGACACCTTCCAGAGGCGTCCAAGAGGGGGGGGCGTCGCACATCAAAACCCGAGGCTGAGCTCCGAGGGGGAGGGGGGGAAGGGGGTGGGACGAGGCACGAGGCATGTGCGCGGACGAGGGGAGGGGGCCTGATTTTCCACCATCCACATCCTTTGACCAGCAGGTGGCTGTTCTGTTTCCGTGATCCTCTCGATGGAAAAGGGAAAGGCTGCGTAAACAGAATTGTTCGGAGCACCGCGCGGATTTCTTGGATCGGCGCTGGGGACCCCCTGGCCCGCGGAGCGCGCCAGGGCGAAGGCCGAACGCAGATCCAAGAAATCCGTGCAGAGCTCCGAAAGTAGATGTCTACAGTGGGGGCCCGACCACAAGAAACCTTCCACAAGAAACCCAACCCTGACACCCCGGGATGTCCCTTGATTTTTTGGTGTGGGAGCGTCACGCTCTCCACAGCAAAACCATCGAAACCCAGGAAACTCATGGCACCCTGGAGGCAAGCAGGATGTTTCCTGGCATGGGCCCCCAGTGTGCAGTCGCTTGCCCCTCGAGGGAAGCACCACATCGGCCACCTACTGGTCGGAGGACGTGTGAAGGTGGAGGGCCAGGGGCACGTGCGCGGCCGAGGGGGGGGGCCATGGGATGCGTCGAAAGAAGCATAGGGGGCCATGATCGGCTACACTCAAGGGTGACCCTGGGTCAGAGTACCCTGGGGTTCTTAACAAGCGTGAGGGGTACCCCCCCGACGGGGGTCAACCTCGCCTCGTCGTCGCGCCGCGACGGGGGTCGGAGCGCCTTCGGCGCGCGGTGGCTGCCCGCGACTGGGGTCGATGTGGAGCTGTCGGCGGGGGTAACGCCCCCCCGACGCATATTAAGAAACGCATTTGCGTCCCAGTGACGGGGCATATGCGTCCCGGTCTCCCAAGAAAACCTATATTGTTGTCCGCATATGGGACGACGACAAACAGCATATGCGTCCCAGTGACCTTTGATACGCGCTTTTGGGGGGGCCACGGGGGGGCCAACACACAAGCGCACGCCACTGCCGCCTCGCGTTCGGCGCTCGGGGGGGCCCCAGTGGGCGCGTACCACAGGTCACTCCAGCGAAGGGCCCCTCTTACGTGTAGTCGACATGAAGACCAGGTAGGTGGCATGGTCCCTGCCACGATATCCTCCCCCTGGTCACCCCCCCCGCCCTTTCGTTGGCAAGCGAGGGATGGAAATGACAGGGAGAAGGCCTTCCAAGCCCTCGCGCCTTCTGACCAGCCTTCTGCCCCTTCGGAGAAGGCCCAGGAAGCGTCTCAGAAGGCTGGAAACATCACGAGCCTTCTGAGGAGGCCCGCCCCCACTCGCTCCCCCCCTTCGGCTCGCCACCCGCCCTTGGCAGCCCCGGAGAGCCTTGATGAGCTTGGCCGGCGACGCGGGCTTCGCCTCCGGGGGCGGGGCGCGCTTCTGTGCCCGCGCGGACCACCAGGCGCTGCTCCTCGTCACCCGCCGGCGCGGGGGCGTGCCGCCTGCCGCGGGATCCGCTTCGAGAGCGCGGCCGGCGCCCGGGCGCGCCGCCGGCTCGGGGTCGAGCTGCGGCTCGTGGGCCATCTGCACAGCCACCTCGCAGGAACCGTCGGCGTCGAGGCGGAGACAAGCAGTGACATACACACATCACTCCGACGGTAGGACCCCGCGATGATCATGGTGTGTGAGTGCGTGAGGAGGAGAGGGGGTGAGGAGGAGGACGACTGCGCGCGGTGTCCAGAGAAAACAAGAACTCCACTCAGGATGTGGGGGATAAAGACTCTTGAGGTCCGCGCGGATTCCTGGGATGGACGCTGGGGACCCCCAGGCGGCGCCTGCGGCGCCGTCACTGGCACGCTCTGCGACGCCAGGGAGGGGGGCCCAGCGCCGATCCGAGAAGGCCGCGCGGAGCTCAGAGTTTTTGATGCTTGCATGTCACTGCTTGTTTCCCTAGACGAGTCGAGATGTCGGACAGTCGGGAGCGTCCAAGAGGGGAGCGTCCAAGAGAGGGGGGTGCAAATCATGGCCCGAGGCATGTGCGCGGCTCAGGGGGGGGGGCCGGGGACGTACGAAGAAGAGGCGCCATGAAATCTGGGGAGATATTATGCTCGCCGCCATGACTTCCCCCCCCCTGGTCTGAAGGGGCCCTGGGACACACAAACAAATACACACAAATAAAAGGACTTCCCATATTTTCTCATATTTTCTGGGTTTTCGTCTTCCCCCCCACTTCCCATATGTTCCCATATTTTCCTGGGGATCTACGAGAAGTAAGAAGAAGCGCCATGAAATCTGGGGAGATATCATGCTCGCCGCCATGACATCCCCCCCCCTAGTCTAAAGGGCCCCTGGGACACACAAATAAATACACACAAATAAAAGGACTCCCTATATTTTCTCATATTTTCTGGGTTTTCGTCTTCCCCCCCACTTCCCATATGTTCCCACATTTTCCTGGGGATCTACGATTAATTGTGTTTCCCCCCCCCCCCCCCCAGTCACCACCCCCCTCTACGCCCCCGACATCGGGCAGGGCAGCATCGGGCAGGCGGCATCGCACGGAGTGGGGATCGCGCCACATCGGCCGCGCCAGGCTGCACAACAGCGCCACGTGGGCACTGGGCCGCACCGAGTCGCCCGAGCACCGGAAGCGCCACTGCACAGCGAGCCGGACGATCGGCTCGAGATGGGCCCTGCCTGGTCGAGCTGCGGCTCGTGCAGGCCACCTCCCTCGCCGCTGGAGACCACGGTTAAGTCGGGCGTGTCCCTCTACAGGGGGAATACCCCAAAATAGTAAAAAGAAATCATTTCGGGACGATGTTTCTAGTACTTTTTACCATGTTTGACCATCTTTGGACACATGTTTGAATTTTTCGTCCAAAATCCGCCTGTAGGAAGACAAGCCCGACCTAGGACCACGGGGTCCGTCTCAAATCGGATCAGTCGGATCGAAGTGGGCCCCGCCTGGTCGAGCTTCGGCTCATAGGCCATCTCCCCTTCGTCGCTGGAGACGAGGTCAAACTGCTCGGCCAGCGCGCCCGCTGCCGGAGGCGACGGCTCGCGCAGAGGCTCTGCTGCGTTCTGGGGCAGGGCACATGCTGGAGAGCATTGCTTCATTCGTGGCCATCGCGGGCAGGGCCGGGCAGGGGGTCTGAACTGGATGGACCTCGAAAAAATAAATCAAGGAGGGGATACGGGCAAATCCGCTCAGAATCTGTCCCTGGACCCCTCCCCGCGATCCATCTGCTGCAGTTTTTTCCTCGAAATACGTTTCTGACGGTCCTCGGGCCTGAAAACGGCCCCCCAAACCAAAAATGACAAAAAGCCCTTCTCGAACCGAGAACCTCGAATCTCGCCCCCCCCGCCCCCCGTCATGCTTTCCAAGCAGCGCTGTGAGCATCGTTCAAGCGATCCCTACGTGACTTGGACCCAGCTGGCCGATTTACCACCCTAGGTGGGGCTATGGGTTCTCCCCCTCGGGTTTCGAGGGGCATCTCCCCAACTGGGGTGGTGGGATGATGGAGCTCGGGATGGGGGTTGGGAAAGGGATCGGTGAAGCGATGCTGATGCGGGGCCACCCCAGAGCCCAAGCCGACTCCAAGGCAATAACGGAGACCAGCCCCGGCCCCCTCCCCCAGTGGTGCGTCCCTGGCACCGCACCAAAAGAATGCTTTGCTCTGTGCAGTACCGCATACGTTTGCTTTTGCTTTTTTGTTTGTCCTGTGCTGGTCTGCCCAGCTGCTGCTGCTGCTGCTGGCCCCGCGGCGGTGACGGCCGCGCCACGCGCCCCTGTGAACGACACGCTCCCCTGAGCGGTCCCGGCCGCTTCCTCCTCCTCTTCGGCCGTCGCTTCGTTGTCTCCTCGTCCCCTCTTGCATGGAGGCACAATTCGCTTAACGGCAGCCCCGTGTTGCTTCCTAGCCAGCGCAGTGACTCTGTCTAGCCGCCGACCAAAAAATTGTGTTGCGCCCCTGGCACCGCACAAAAAGAAAGGATGCTCTGCGCAGCACCGCGCACAAACACGCTGTGCTCCGTGGAACACCCGCGCGCCCCCGCAGCCCTGCAGCAAGGTGCGGACGTGGCGCCTGCGGTCGCCGCAGAATGCCCCGCCCGCGCGACCGCGACCACGGGGCGGCGAGGAGAGAGAAGACCGACTCGGAAGCCGGGCAAAAGCTGCTAAATCCGTGGCTGCTAAAATCGACCTCCGGGAAGTTGTCTTCGTCCCTCCGGAAAGAAGCCCGTGAACTGTTTCGCGTGCCGCGCCTCATTTCGGGAAGTTGTTTTTTCCTTCCGGGAGGGCCGTTTTAGCAGCCTCGGTTTTAGCAGCCCTCGCCCAGCTTTCGACCGACCCTGACCCAGGGCGAGAACGGTGTCGTGATGATGCAGTCAGCCCGCAGAAGAAGGGCGCACGTCAGGAATGCAAGGGCCTGAGAGGGCCGTGTCGACGCTTTGCGAGCGGGGCGCGACCAGCGAGAGCGGCCAAGGATGAGTCGAAGGGGGAGGATGCAGGGGTAGCCTAAAGTCGTGCCTGTCCTCCTACAGGGGGATTTTGGAAGACAAATAACAAGTAGTCAAACAAGACCCGAAAATGGTCAAAACATACATACACACACGAAAAAAGTCCCTATATATGTTTTGGCTACTTTTGAATGTTCTCCCTGTAGAGGGACACGCCCGACTTAAGGGTAGCCTTGGAAAGTGACTCATCCTTACTATGTGGGTTGACGGCATTGGCTTAGGATACGTCCCCGCATTTCCAGAACATCTAGCAGCCCTCGCTTTGCAGCCCATGGGGAGCTTTCGAACATATATAGATATAGAAACTCCTGGAAGAAAGCCTGAAACGCATCAGTACCATGACCTCTTGCTCCTCTGATGGCAAACCACAACAGCCATACGAACGCCACCATACGCACAATAGTACGCCACAATCTGCCGATGCCACAACTGCCATGCGAGCCCAGCGGCTGGCGATCGCTGTACTGCCACAGCCTGCGAGCGCCACGATGGTGCTAGATTCTATACGCGCAGATCTCATGCACGCCTCAAGCAACACGAATAACATGCGAGCGCGGGAATCTGGCCCCAAACGCAGCAGCCTTAATGTCAGCGCCTGTGAGCACCGCGGTGCGCTCGCGAAGCTGGCCCCCGGCCAGCAGGACCACGACAGCCTGCGAGCGCCACGTGGGGGCGCAACAGCATGCCAGACCCTGCAAGTGCCACGGTTACCGGCGAGAGAGGAAGAGAAGAGGACGACGACGACGAGGACGAGCAGCAGAAAGATGAAGGAGACGGCAAGGACGAGGAGACGCACGGGACCGAGAGGAGGGCGAGGACGACGATGACGACGAGGACGACGACAACGAGGACCACGACAACGACAAGGACACCGAAGACGACGACGAGGACGACGGCAGGGACGAGGCTGACGAGAACGACGACGATGAGGAAGAACAGGAGAAGGGAGGGGAGAAGGAGGAGGAGGAGGAGGAGGAGGAGGAGGAGGAGAAGAAAGATAAGGAGGAGAAGGAGGAGGAGAAGGAGGAGGAGGAGGAGGAGGAGGAGGGAGGAGGACCACGAGAAACGAGGACAGGGACTGGGGCGAAAGGATAATTACGACACTCGTACAAATGCCGCCAGGGAGACGGGAGGAACAGGGGGGGGAGGAGGACATGGAAGGGTGGGACGACGACGACATCAATGTCGACGGCGGCGGCGGCGCCATCCTTGAAACTGCCTCATTCTGGACCAACCGAATGGGGGGGAAGCGCGCAGGGGGCTTCGGAGGCCACAAGTCGTCACTTCTGCAAAACAAGATTGTATATATATATATATATATATATACACATGCTCGCGTCAAACAAGATGTTCTGGATTTCTGGGTCCCGGGGACAGCCGCGGCGACGCCCACAACAGCCGCCTGCCTCAGCTGACGCCAGCGCCGCCGACGTCGAGGAACACCACGGTAATAATACCCAATTGTAAATAAGAAAATTGATAGCTCGCGAAAACCACGGCGTGCCTGTGAGCGAAAGAAAGCGCCCACGACCACCGGACGGCGACGGAAACAGGCCCCTGCCAAGCCTGCCGTAGTCTGCGAGCGCCACACCAGAAATCGGTACGGAAATTAGCCTGGCGAAGCACCCAACCATACGCAACTGTGGATACATCAATTGTGAATTCCATCTTCGCCCGCGCTCCCTATGTGGCCACGGCTTCCCGCCGGAGCTCGACATGCTCAGGGACACGTGAGTGGCTGTCTTCGCGGGCGCCGACGACCACGAGGACGGCGTCCCCCTGACCGAAGAGCAGAAGCAGGAAAGGGTTCTGAGAGCCATGAGGGAGACTGCCATTGGCGCCTTCGGTGGAGCTCCTACGGGGCCACGATCCTCATGAGGGACGTGCCGAGATGGCCCGATGCCGCCATGCGAACCCTGCCACTGGGGGCCTTCGGTGGAGCTCCCTATGGGGCCACGATCCTCGTGAGGGGTGTGCCGAAATGGCCCGAGGCCGCCATGCGAACCCTGCCACTGGGGCCTTCGGTGGAGCTCCTATGGGGCCACGATCCTCGTGAGGGGTGTGCCGAAATGGGCGGGCCGCCATGCGAACCCTGCCACTGGGGCCTTCGATGGAGCTCCTATGGGGCCACGATCCTCGTGAGGGGTGTGCCGAAATGGCCCGAGGCCGCCATGCGAACGCTGCCACTGGGGCCTTCGGTGGAGCTCCGTATGGGGCCACGATCCTCGTGAGGGGTGTGCCAAAATGGCCCGGGGCCGCCATGCGAACGCTGCCACTGGAGCCTTATGGGGCCACGATGCTCGTGAGGGGTGTGCCGAAATGGCCCGGGGCCGCCATGCGAACGCTGCCACTGGCGCCTTCGGTGGAGCTCCCTAGTGTGCCACGATCCTCGTGAGGGGTGTGCCGAAATGGGGCGGGGCCGCCATGCGAACCCTGCCACTGGGGCCTTCGATGGAGCTCCTATGGGGCCACGATCCTCGTGAAAAATGGGGTGGGGCCCGCATGCGAACGCAGCCACTGGGGCCTTCGGTGGAGCTCCCTATGGGGCCACGATCCTCGCGAGGGGTGCGCCGAAATGGGGCGGGGCCCACATGCGAACGCTGCCACTGGAGCCTTCGGTGGAGCTCCCTATGGGGCCACGATCCTCGTGAGGGGTGCGCCAAAATGGCGCGGGGCCACCATGCGAACGCAGCCACTGGAGCCTTCGGTGGAGCTCCCTATGGGGCCACGATCCTCGTGAGGGGTGCGCCCAAATGGGGCGGGGCCCACATGTCGGTGGAGCTCCCTATGGGGCCACGATCCTCGTGAGGGGTGTGCCGAAATGGGGCGGGGCCCACATGCGAACGCTGCCACTGGAGCCTTCGGTGGAGCTCCCTATGGGCCACGATGCTCGTGAGGGGTGCGCCAAAATGGGGCGGCGCAGCCACTGGAGCCTTCGGTGGAGTTCCCTATGGGGCCACGAAACGCTGTACTGGGTGGGTGAAACGCAGGGAGGAGGGGAGCGGAGGGGGAGGAGAGGAGAGGAGGAGGAGGAGAAACGCGGGGCGACGTCTCTTCAAAACGAGGACCCAACACCACAGGATGGTTGGGAAAAATGGTAGTACGATGCCCAACCGTAAATGTTGTCCCAAACCGACAGCGGCCGCTGTTGGGCAGGAGGTCTCCTGTTTTACATTGACAACGTCCGCGGCAACGCCGACAACAAACCCTGTTCAAAGTGGACAGGAACTGGTGTCCGTCTTCATCACCATTCTGTCCGTACCCATGCTGGTCGTACCGGACCAGGGGAGGTGCAAATGCATAGATCCAGCCGCCCGGCGCAAACCCTGCGAGCACCGCAGTTGCCTCCGAGCACAACGGTGGCCTGCGAGCACCGCGCAGGCGCTGCGAGCGCACGCTGCTGCGAGGCCATGGTGCACGCGTGCCCCCGGCACTGGCGGTGGCGCTGGGCCATATGAGACATAGACAGTCACCGTGCAATCATGAGGAACATATCATCAGGAACGAAGGAGCTTTTCTGGCCACGGCGGGCCTAGGCCACAAACAGGTCCCACGATAGAAATCTCCAGAACGGCCCGAAAACCCGAGCCCCTCCTGGTGCGAAAGCGGTCCTTGTTTCAGCGTCTTGACTGTAGAGGGGGGGAAGGGGCCACAGCACCCGACATGGCCCAGGCTTTGGAAAAACAGGGCTCCTGCATCAGCGGTGACGCTTGGCTCCAGGGACTCCTTCGGGTCGGACCAGAAGGGGTGGGATGGTACAGGGGGGATCCGCGAATCGCCCCACTCACCTGGCGGTCCTGGCGCCTCCCGGTGCCAGAGGCGCCCAGGTGCACAGGAACGCGCCGAGCGGCGGGGCCGAAACGAGACGCATGCAGCAGATCTCGTCCCCTCCCTGAGGGGCCGTGCCACGGAGGAACCGGCTCAGGTGGGGCGGGGGAGCATCGCGCTGGACTCGGCGATACGTCGCCGACGGATCGGCGCCAGGCTGACGATAGCGAGGCCGCACGGTCGTGGGCGGGGTGGGCTACCGGGCCCCTATCGGCTGTGAATGGGGGATTGGGACTCGATGCGTCTCCCTGAGCCGAGCCCCCCACCCCTGGCCCCTGACCCTGACTCTCCACCTTCCACACCTCCCGACCAGCAAGTGGCTAATCTAGTCATCTTCTCGAGGGCCGCAAGACTGCACTGAACTCTCGGAGCTCCGAGTAAGGTATGCTCGTGTTGTCTCTTTGTCCCTCGAGAAGGCTCACTAGCTCAGCTATCTGCAAGTCGAAGGGTCTAGAAGGTGGAGCGTCGAGGGAAGAATCCCCCCTTTTCGTCCCACCCGACTCCTCCTGAGGGCTCTCGGGCTCCGCGGGGCTCTCGGCATCCCGGCCCGCCGCGCAGGGAGGCGACTCCGGCTCGTCCTCGGAAGGCCACGATGTGACACTGTCCGGTCCGCGGCCGCAGCTGAGGGGACAACGCGGCAGCGTCGTGGGACGACGGGCTCACGGGGCGGGAAACATCGACCTGGAATTACGTCGGGCATGCCCCCCCTACAGGCGTATTGTGGATAAAAAATGGACATGGTACCGGAGAAAAGCCCCAATCATAATCTTTTTAGGGCTGTAGGGCTATAGGGCTACATGGGCTATAGGGCTATTGGGCTATAGGGTAATAGAGCTACAGGGCTACAGGGCTATTGGGCTATAAGGTACAGGGGTATAAAGCTACAGAGCTATAGGGCTATACGGCTATAGGGCTATTGAGCTATAGGGCAATGGAGCTAGCTAGAGGGCTACAGGGTATAGGGGTATAGGCTATAGAGCTATAGGTCTATACGGCTATAGGGCTATTGAGCAATCGGAGGTTGGGGGGTGAGATCGAAGTGGAACGGAGAGCCCCCCTACCGGGAAATCGATTTCGGTTTCGTGTTCGTGCGTGCCGTGCGGGCGAGACGAAGCTGCGTGGGCGGGCGAGAGAAAGTCTCCTGTGGCTGAGGCGCGGCCGGAGCAAAAGAACCTTGACCGAGCGGCCGGTGCCCCGCGGTGTCCCGCCAGTGTCCCGCTGGTGTCCCGTGTGGCTGAGGCGCGGCCGGGGCAAAAGAACCTTGACCGGGCGGCCGGTGCCGCGCGGTGTCCCGCCGGTGTCCCGCTGGTGTCCCTTCGGTGTCCCGTCGGTGTCCCGATGATGACGTGGATGATGATAATGATGATGATGATGATGATGATGATGGTGGTGATGATGATGATGGTAATGATGATGATGATGATGTTGATGATGGCGATGCTGATGATGATGATGATGATGATGATGATGATGATGTTGGTGTCGTTGATGATGATGATGATGACGTCGATTGTGAGATCGATTGTGATATCGATAGTGAGACCGAATGTGATATCGATTGTGCGATGCTGATGGTGATGATGGCCATGATGGTGATGATGATTGTGATGATGATGACGACGTTGATGATGATGATGCTGCTGATGATGATGACGATGATGATGATGTTAATGGTGATGTCGATGATGATGATGACGACGTCGATAGTGATATCGATTGTGAGATGGTAGTGAGGGGTCCAGTCTGGGCCCCCCCCCAACCTCCTTATCACCCGCAGGGTGGTCGTATAGGTAGGGCCATAGGGCTATGGAGCTATAGACCTTCAAGGCTATAGGGCTATAGGGCTATTGGGCTATTGGGCCATAGGGCTATAGGGCACCCCCGGGCACGCCCGGGCACCCCGGGGCACCCCGGGGCACCCGGGCACCTGGGCGTGCAGCGAAAATCGGCGACAAACCTAACCTAACCATATGAATCCGCTAGGACCCCTACAGAGGCAAGCTCTGATTGGGTAAATATATTCCAAACATTCCCCCAAGTTGTCCAAAAAAACTCCGCTGACTACTGTTCTTACTATTATTTTAATATTCCTGCTGTAGAAAGACAGGCCCGATTTACACCTGGAATCGGGGATACGTCGCCGATAGATCGCCGATAGAGCCCCGATGGAGGAAACCGAGCGTCCACTGGGCGAGGTGGAGCCTCGAGTAGGCGATTGGAGATCGATGCGGCGCCCAAGGGAGACTGCCCCCTCTGACACTGCCCCTGAGCTTCGGTTGGGCGTGTCCCCCGCACAGGCGGATTTTGGATCAAAAAATACCCAGCAAATATTCAAAAACACATGGTCAGAATATCGTCCCCAGGCTCTTTTTGGACCATTTTTGAATACTCCTCCTGTAGAGGGACACGCCCGCTCTGACCCCGAGCAGAGGTATCAACCCCTTCCCATCGGGGACCTTCTGACCCGGGTCAATCCAAACCCAGGTCAGCAGGAAACCAAAAACTGCAATGCAGGAAAAAAAAAAACTGCACCGGAGATCTTCGCAAACCCGGGTCAGCCAACGTGCGCGGCCGCCTCGCGGCCACGAGCGGCTCGCTAGCCCGGGTCAGCCAGAAGGGGGTCTTCGCAGGATCCTGCAGGACCCGGTGCTCTGGCTGACCCCAGTTTGCATTGACCCCCGTCTGAAGGCTCCTGACCCCAGGGCTAGCCCTTCGCTCCGGACCCAGCTTTGTCAACCCTGGGGGCCTGGGGGCCTAAGGCGGCCCCTGGAGGCTGGCCTCAAGGAAACACCGCCGCAACGGACAAAATCTGGCTCCGTCGAAGACCCAGGCATGACGTCGATTGGTCGGCGATTGGCTGAGAAAAAAAAACGCCCTAACCCTGAAGGTCTGCCGGTCCTTTCCCAGGGACCGGCTTTTCACCCCGAATCGTTTTCTGACGGCCCCGGGGCCCCGCGAGAGCCCCCGCGGCCGAAAACTATGGAACAATAACCGCCCGTCCCCGTGTCTAGAGGCCCCCCTGGATGGGGTCGGAGAGCAGGTGGGGTCGGAGGACCGCGCCGCATCGCCGATGCATCGGCGATGTAACTGCAGTGCATCGGCGATGCATCGGCGACGTCGGCGATGCATCGGCAACGCCAGCGTGAAGATAATCGGGCTCCACATCGAGCCGCATCGCAGATGCATCGACGGCACGGCGCGCGACCCTCCGACCCCATCTGCTCGGACCCAATCTAGGAGGCCTGCCCCGACTCTCCACCTTCCACACCTCCCGACCAGCAAGTGGCTAACTTGGACGCCCGAGTTATCCGGGGTAACTCGGGTCCGGGGTAACTCGGGTTTGGGTTCCCGGAAAACGAACCCGAGTTAGCCCTGACCCGAGTTATCCCTGATGATCTGGGGCTCTGGACGCCCGAATTATCCGGGGTAACTAGGGCCCGGGGTAACTCGGGCTTGGGTTCCCGAAAAACGAACCCGAGTTATCCCTGACCCGAGTTACCCCTGATGATTCGGGGCTCTGACTAACTCAGCCATCTTCCCGAGGGCCACAAACCTGCACGGGCATAAACTCTCGGAGCTCCGAGTAAAGCATGCTTCTGTTGCCTCCTTGTCCGTCTATAGACGACTCACTAGATCAGCCACCTGTCAGTTGAAGGGTGTGGAAGGTGGAGCGTCGAGGTATAGGGTACCCAGACCCCCGACGTAATGTTTTTTTCATTGCGTCGACTCCCAGAGGTCCCGACCCTTTCCCCACCGGCGTCTCCCCTTCGAGGGCAAGGACGGTGGTACCAAAGCGGCCCAGGTCGCCCATGACCGGCTTTGCATCCTGAGTCGTTTTCTGACGCTCCCGAGGCTCGGCGAGGGCCCCCGGAGGCCGAAAAAATAAGACAAACCTCCCGTCCTGATTTTCTCATTACTCGAGGGGGTCTGGGTATAGTCTGGGGATCCGGGTCCAGCTCCGCGGGCTCGTCCAGCTCCACAGGCGGCACGGCCCCCCAGGGCGTCGGAGCCAGCTCGCCCACGCCCCAGGCCTCGTCGTCCCCCCCGGGGTCGTCCTGGTCGGGCCCGGGCCCGCGCCGCGCCGCGCCGGCGACGAGAGCGTCGTCGCACTCGGGGCTCGCGGGGCTCTCGGGCGCGGGCGCATCACCTGAGTAGAGAGCAGACCATCCACCCCCATAATAAGCACCTCGACAAGAGAAGCCGTTTAGTAAACGCACCCATGGAAGGAATCGAACAGGGCAGGGCTGTTTAGTAAACGCCCAGGGCCGTTTAGTAAACGCAAATTGTCGAGGTCGGGGTGGTTTTTCCACCCTTGACTGATGAACCAAAACAGGACCCCTGATCCTCTGGGAGGGGACCCGAGTTAGTGAGCGTTTTCGTATGTGGCGCTGCGACATTGTTCGGAGAGGGGGGGGGAGGGGGGGGGTCTGGCTCCAGACCTCTGCTTAGTACGACTGTTTGCGACAGCGCGCCCTATGAGGGGAGACTCCACCTGCTCGAAACAGGCGACAGAAACATCCAAGATCGACTCTATGGGAGGGAGGGGGAGGGGGGGTGCGAGGGCCCGCGCCGATCGGCAAGACAACGAATCAGAAAACGAACGCTATTAATAGGAGGGCCAAAAACGTTAGGGATAGAGCGTCTTTTCCGCAGACAATCCCTAATGCAACAACGGGGACCAAAGTGAGGCCACGCCTTCACTGTGCTAGTAGGGTTACGGGTTCTTATCCTCGATGACCATCGCCTCCCTCCGACGCGTCCGCCGCGAACCGGAAGTTACACTTTTTCGACCGGATGCGTCTCAGCGCGGCCGCCAGCTCGAGCTCGCTGAGGCCAAGCGTCTCCGCGACGATGTCGACGGCGGCCTCCACCATGTCCCGGACGTCGGCCATGGCGCGCTCCAGCTCCTCACGGTCTCCGCAGAGCACCGAGACGTGGAGCCGCCGGTCCGGCGGCGCGTATTGGCAGACCTCTCCGCTCACCTCCACCAGCACTCCGGGGTGCTTCCTCTCGAAGTACGCGATGTGGGCACCCCCGGGGCCTTGCAAGGCGTCGGTCAGCGCCTTCCCGGCGGGCAGCGCCACCTCATTGGATGGCCGAAATGGGTACGGGAACCATGCCCAACAACACATTACATGTCAATCGCCGACAAAACGACAGCGGCCGCTGTTGGGCAGGCAACTTTTTGCCTCCAATGGACACCGCATCCGCGGAAATGCCGACAGCGAACCCTGTTCAACATGAACAAGACCTCATACATGCGACGTCCTGATTGTTTTGATAGACGGTTCCCATGAGTCCCGACCCTCTTCCCTGGAAGTGGCTTTTCATCATGGGACGTTTTTGGACGGTCCCGGGTCCCTGTGAGGGCCCCGAAAGGCCGACAACTATGACAAAAACGTCCGTCCTAACTTTTTCACGGCGCGCTCATGTATGGGATCTGCTGTTGCTCTTCGTCACTATCTTTTCTGTACCCATCTTGGTCGTGCCGGACCTCTGGGAACCACACCTGCCCGAACGCGCCCCGCCCGGCTGCCACCTCGGGAGCGTCCACGAGGGGGTCGTCCGAAAAGGGGGGTCGCAAATCATAGCCCGGGGTACGTGCGCGGAAGAGGGGGGGTTGACGACTTCAAAATGGGTTCCGAGTAATTAATTAGATGGGGTCGAAGGACGGCTTCGCATCGTCAATTCTTTTGGAGGGCCCATCTGAAATCTCCAGTGGCCCGCGGGTTCCCAGGGCCTCGGACGGCGCCAACAAGGCCAACCCAGAACGGCGGCGGCGGCACCTGTGGATTACCCTAAAGGGTCAACGCCAAAACGTCTAGGTGGACAGAGGGCGGGGAGGAAGGAAGAGGCGGAGAGACAGGAAAGGCACACAAAGCGAATAAACGACAGGACGAAAAAATCAACACCTGGCCACCATTGCCGGGTGGACGCCGGCGTGTCGCCCTAAGCGTGGGAAAAGGGAGGAGGACGAGGCGGAGGAGGAGTAGGGGGAAGAAACACACAGTATGTGAAACACGTACCAACAGTGGCCGGGCCTAATCATCGTTATGGTCAAAACGTGTGGCGCCTTGGCGGCAAAATTCCCTGAAAGCGCTGGGAGTGTGAGCGGTTGCCACCACCCCATGGCGGAGAGCCCAACGCAGGCGGTATAGCGCAGATAATGCTACACCCTGCCGCTGGCACAGGATAGCCGGAGACCTGCCCACCTGCACCAGCAATTCCTGCAGCCCCAAAAAAGTGTCCAACTCTAGGCCGGACGCAGAGGGAGGGAGGAGGAACTCAGCAAACAAAGCCTTCACAGTGGCGCAGAACGCGACATGCTCCAATTTGCCCCAGCCGCCGCCGCAACCGAATCGACAGGGGCCTGCGCCCTGGAACCGGTGGCTCATGCACCACCCGTTGCAGATGGTCCGCAAGCAGGCTGCTGCAACACGAGGGTGGCCGTTGAGCGCCAACTGTTGCAAGTGTCGCACTGCTCGAGCTGGTCGTAGCCCGGGAAGGGTGACGACGTTCCAGAGGTGGCGCTGCGCATGTGCTCCGGGAGGCCCACGACAGAGCATCGTAATCCTGCGCTGCCATCCCTGGTGTTCTTGGAGGCGTGCATCCACGGTTGGGGAAGTGCAAATCATCTGCGAGACTTGCATGTCAGCGTGCGCGAGCTTCAGGAGGTAGCATCGAGCGCGCCACGTACCCAACCAGGCCTCCCGGGCGAGGGTGCTGTCGACGTAGCTGCGGAGAGCTTCAATGCGCTGGGCGCGGGCGTGCACCTGCAAGCCGCCCTGCGCCTCGAAGCGGACCACCCGCGCCTTGGACGCGATCGCCGCTGCCCGCACGTCCCGCAGCCATGGGAATCCCAACGAGCGGAGGTCCGTCAGGCAGCCTGCTGTGATCCAGTGGGTGGGCCCTGGGACGAGGGCAGCACGTGCCCTCTCCTCCGCCGCGCCGAACTCGGGGAGCGGCTCCAGCTGCCCCACGAAAGAGAAGACCGAAGCCACGTACACCTGATACGCGCGAGCGGTCAGTGAAGGGGCCCTGGGACACACAAATAAATACACACAAACAACAGGATTCCCTTTTCTGGGTTTTCGTCTTCCCCCCCACTTCCCATATTTTCCCATGTTTTCCTGGGAATCGACGATTAATTGTGTCTGTGTGTTTTTGTTCCCTCCTGAGTCAGGCAGGCACCGGCTCCGAGCTGTCCCCATAGTCTCGCGCGCTCCTCACACCTCTCGAGCGGCGCCTGCCGTGAGAGACCCCCCCCCGGCCAGGCCCAGGCACGAGGCCGAGACACCTGGCGGCGGCCGCGAGGGTCAGCCCCGCCGGGGCGGGCACCTTGGGCACTTCCGCGCTGCGGATTCCAGACCCGCTGCAAGGAGCACCCTGCGAGGCGGGAATTTATCCATATCCACCGCCTGGGAACCGACGTTCTGGTGCCCCAGCGGGCGATGGATGTGGATATATTTCGGCCTCCAGGGGCCCGAACATGTCCATATCCACCGCCTGCTGAGGCTCCGAAAACTGACCCTCCAGGTGGTGGATATGGATAAATTCCCGCCTCGGACACCCGGGCGCTCTGGGCTTGCGAAGGTTACGTGTGCTGGAAGACAGCATCACGGCGGTGGCGGCCAATCTGCAGAGGACGGAGGCCAGTCACGCGGCGGTAAATTCGGTCGAGGCGAAGCTCGGGGTGACGATGAAATTCTTGAGGGCTGTCGAGGCCGAGGCCGTGGGGGAGATATCAATATGTTTGCAATGCTACCCTCATCTCGCTGCACTGGTGTCTAACCCGTATGTATGTGCTCGGCGGCAACGCGGGCCGAAGACTACGACCTGTTCGCGACCACGCGGTCGAGCTAGCCAGACAGCAGGGCGTGGACGAGCTCTACAATGCCAGAGAGTTAGAGAAGCAGGGGAGCAAGCCAGAGCCGCGCAAGCGAAGCGCAAGGCCAGCCGACTTCTTTCTCGTCTCGCCCCTGGACGGGGGTCTGCCTTGCAAGCGCTGCTGCTGGGCGACGGCACCCACGCAACCAATCCAGAGGAGATGGCGGCAGCGCTGACCAGCCACTGGGCCACGGTCTTCAGAGCCAACGGCATGGACGCGGCTTTGCTTCAGGAATGGTTGCGCGAAGACCTTGAAAACCGCGTCGGACCGACGGGGGAGCCGTCGGCCGGCCCTGTCCTGGCAAGGGGCTGGGCCCCGTCGAACTCCGAGGTGCTTCGCGTCCAACCGACACGGGGGCATATACGACGAGCGATAACCCTATCGGGGAATTCGGCACCAGGTCCCAATGGGAATCCGTACTCGGCATGGCGCCGCCTTGGAGCGTTGGCAGTAGACGTGCTGCACGAGGCTTTTCAGGATTGCTGCGCCGAACACGCTCTCGAACGGCTCGCGCAAGACTACCCGTCGTTCAATGAGAGCTTCCTGATCTTCCTTCCCAAGAAGGCAGTGGGGCAGACCGGACAAGGACAAGACCTTTTTGAGCCAGGAGGGGTGCGGCCTCTGAACATAACGAAGCCGTCCAACCGTCTGTTGGCAAGCGCATGCCGCCTGGCTGTCGAGCCTGCTCTCGCCGCACGTACCACGCAGTTGCAGAAGAGTTTCTTGCCTCGGCGCTCCATGATCTCAAACATTTTGGACATCGACGAGGCCTTGCTGGAAGCGGCCATGCAGAAAGAAGGAGCCTACATCTTCTTCTTTGACTTTGCGGCGGCCTTTCCGTCGATCGAGCATGAACTCTTGCACGCTTTCTTCACTGCTCTCGGCTGGCCTGGGTGGCCGAGGAATCTCATACAGAGCTTATACTGGGACAACCACTGTGTGATCTCGCTGGGCGGCGCGCGATTCTGTGGATTCGCCACTTCCCGGGGCATACGGCGAGGATGTCCTTTCAGCCCACTTCTCTTCGCAGTGGTCTCCGACCTGCACTTGCGTCGACTCCACACGGCACCTCCCGACGGCTACCCTACGGGCCTGGGCAGACGACCTTGCCATGGTCCTGCCACGGGCGCTGGGGCACCTTCCCGCAGTGCACGCTTTCTTCAAGGAGTTCGGAGAAAGGTGTCTGGCCTCCTGCGGAACGTACCCAAGACTGTGGCTGTGCCCCTCGACCCTCTAGACGAACGGCTTCGCATCGACAATGCATCGGCGAGGCCGGCGCGGAGAAAGTCGGGCTCCACATCGAGCCGCATCGCAGCTGCATCGGCGAAGCGGCGCGATCATCCGACCCCATCGACTCCGACCCCAACTAGGAGGCCTAAAGGGTACTGAGGACCTCCTGAGGGCCAAAAGGTATCTACTCAAGCGGGGGGCCAGAGGACATGCTGAAACAAAAAACGGGGCCAGGAAAGCTGGGGATACCTTGCGCTCTGGCATTGCAACAACAAGTGCAACATCGCGAGAAATCGCGCCAGGAGCCCCAAGCCTCACCTTTTTGCATCATGTTTCGAGCTGTGTCGATCTGTGAGGGTCCTGGGGCCCATCACCAGGCGAAAAAAAACAATAACGCCCGGATCTGCGGGGACATCCTGGCCCCAGCCATGGTATACCCACCCACCACTGGGAAGTACCCCCATCTTGGCCGCGCCCGAGCCGCCGCCGTGGCCCCGTCCACGCCAGCCGCGGCCGGGCCCGCCATGTGCCGCCTCAGGGGGACCTCGGGGTCTACAGGAGAAGGAGGAGGAGGAGGAAAAAGAGGAGGAGGACTAGCGTAAACCCAATACTCTCAACGATGTTGGAATATACCGCTCCAAGCTCCCCCCTCTCAGGCTCCCACAAGGCTTCGTTTCCACTGGCCCCGTTGGGGGACAACCGCGCCAACATCCTGAAGTAAAAACACGATTCTCAGGACTTCAGCGCCACGAATTAACCTTAATGTTACGTCTTCGCGATCCAGAATCGCGCCATAGCACCATTCCTGGGACTACAACACCGAAAAATCAACGTGGCTGTTGCGCCCTGGCAGTCCTGCATCGTTCCCAAAAACCATGTCTGGCACGTTAGCCAAAAGACCCAGTGAAACTCTTGCACATGTTTGAAACAATGTGCGAGGAGCTACAACGAGAACCGCAGATAGAAAACGACCCGCCCTCAATCTGTGAAGCTGTTACAACTGTTTATATCGGATATGAGCGTTGTTAAAGCGAGATCCACATTTTGAAAACGGCTCGCCCTCAAAACATGACATTATTGCAGATGTTCAAGACGAGTGTGCGCGGTGCTGAGCGATAACCACTTTTTGAAAACGGCGTGCCCCCCATCCGCAACAATCATGCAAATGCTGCAGAGGCAAATGCGCGGTGCTAAGACGAGGGCCACTTTGAAAACGACCAGTTCTGTTAAACTCTCACAGTTTGTTTAAACGGATGTGCGCGGCGCTTTGGCGAGAGCCACATGTTGGAAGACATCCGCCCTGCCAATGTTTAAACTTCATGATCATACATGGTGAGATAATCTCAAGCGAAACGCCCGGCCCGCCGTTTCGACCGGCCTCGGGGTGCGACAGGGAGAAGTTATTTATCGATACAGGAGCAAGAATGGAGGAGGAAGAGGAGGAGGAGGAAGAGGAGGAGGAGGAGGAGGAGGAGGCGGCGGACGTGGAGGAGGAGGCGGCGGATGACGAGGAGGATGAAGAGGAGGGATGGATACAATCGTGAGATCTTCGGACCATCATATCGGCACTTCGGCAGGAGGAGGAAGAAGAGGAGGAGGAGGTCTACAGAAGGAGGAAGAGGAGGATGAGGAGGAGGCAGAAAGGGAGAAAGAAAAGGACGAGGTCTACAAGATGATGATGATGATGATGATGATGATGATGATGATGATGAGGATGAGGAGGAGGAGGAGGAGGAGGAGGAGGAGGAGGAGGGTGAGGAAGAGGAGGAGCTGGAAGAAGAAACAAACAACAAAAAATGAAAACGTGCTGCCTCAGAGGGGCCGGCGAGGCCCGGCCCTGGCGCGCCTGCGCGAGGCCCAGCCGCCGCGCGCCCCCGCGGCGCCGCGGCGGGCCCTCCCGGGCGGCATGGCTCTCGCGGGGGCCTCCGCGGACGGCGGGAGCGCGCGGCACCGCCCAGCCGGGCCGGCGCCGCCGGGCCCGAGGGCTCCGGCCGCGGAGCGGGGAAGGGGCCCTCGCAGACAAGCTCCCCCTCCGCCCTCCTCTTCCTCCTCCTCCTCTAGCGCGGGCGCCCGGGCGTTTTTCCGCCTCCCCCCCTCCTCCTCCTCCTGATCCCCCTCCTCCTCCCTGTCCCCTCCCTCTCCTCCTCCTTTTCCTCTCCCCCCCTCTCCTCCCTCTTCCTCCTCTCATCCTCCTCTTCCTCCCCCTCGTCTCCTCCTCCTCCTCTTCTTCATCCTCCTCCTCCTCCTCCTCCTCCTCCTTTTCCTGTTCCTGCTGCTTTTCCTCCTTTTCCTCCTTTTCCTCCTCCTCCTCCCCTCCTCCTCCTCCTCCTCCTCCTCCTCCTCCCTCATCCCCTCATCCTCCCTGTCCTCCTCCTCCTCCTTCTCCTCCTCCTCCTCCTGTGACGCCCGCCGCCCATAGGACATCGGTGCCGTCGCATACTCCACAACCCATCCCCCTGCAAATGCCATGCCATTTTTGACATTCTCGACGTCGGCCCCCGCAGATGTCATGCCATCCTGATTGGTTTCTGGGCCCCTGCCCGGCCCTGGCGAAAACCCGCCGTCGCTTCGGCGACGAACGTCTCCATGGCCGCCGCCTTCTTCGCTGTCATCACGTCCGCCTCGGCCGTCTGAATCTTGCACCGATTAAGCTGATAGTGGCCACCAGCTGCCGCTTTCAGTGGGGCCGACGCGCTCAGCCTCGAAAAGTGGATCTCATCCTTCGCCATGTCGATGACCGCGCCGAGGTTCTTCTGCATGGGATTGCTCAGCGGGGGGCGAGGTCCTGCCAAGAGCGACGCATGCGCGCTGGACCAGCAACTTGCCACCGACGCGACACTGCAGCTCGACCGTGCACATGGACGCCCGGGTCTCGTGGTTCCCGAACCTGAACACCACCAGCTGGTCCTGCTCGGTGTTTCTCAAATCGAAGCCCACCTTCTTCACGATCGCCTTGTGGCCCTCCAGCGACTCCTCCCCGATGAGGCCCTGGTGCCCGCGACGCTGGGCCCTGCTGCGTGCGCCGACGCCGACAGCATTTCCACTATCTCCTCTTCCTCAGGCTCGTGCGTCAGCCGCTGATACACCGCGATCACCTCGCTGACCTCCGAATCGGATGACTCCGCCTCGGCCTCGACCGCATCCCTCAGCTCGTCGATCGTCGCGTCGAAATCGGCGTCGCACAGCTCGCACTCGTAGGACTCGTCCGTGCTGTCGCTCGCGAGGTACACTGGCTCCAAGTTGTCGTCGTCCACCACCATGACTACGTCCGCCCGCTGATCATGTTTGCACGTGCCTTCTCCTTTCCCATGTCGAGGTGGCGGCCGACGCCGTCGTCGAGGTTCCTTGCAGTCCCTGCTGAAGTGGCCAACCTCGTCGCAGTTGTAGCATCCCACCTGCGTGACCATCGCCGTCATGTCCTGCTTCTTGGGCCCAAATCCACGACACAACTGCCCCTTCGATATCTTACTTCGTTGATCGCGCCACGTCGCCAGGATCCCCATGGCCTCCCTCTCGTCCAGGATGGTATCGTCGTTGTCCTGGGCATCGTCGCATCCTGCGATGAGAGCGTCAATGTGTGGGGTCTCATCGGGATCCTCGGCAGGTGCGCGCCGTAGGACTTGCTTTGCTGACTGAGATCGGCCGATCCGTTCGGATACGTCGTCCTGAGCGCCGTCGCCATGTCCCGTTCTATGCATGAACTCGTCGACGCCGCCAGCACTACTGCCAGGGCTCGCGGTTGCATGTGGGCGCCCTGCAACAGCAAAACACCCGAGCCAGTTTGGCAAATGCCACTGAACCCTTCCGCAACACGCCGCCATCGAGTCACTCTTGGCCAGTTTCAACGCGAACGCTTCCTGGAGAGCTTCGCCCAGCCTGTCGTGAACAGCCAGATGTGGAAACCGTTTATCCAGTGTCTCGTAGGCTATGTCTTCGCCTGCGTTTTCAAGGTCGCCCATACTAATCACCTCCAGAGCCTGGGCAGCGACATCGTCTAGCAGCGTGAATACCATAGGCCCCAGTGCCATGGTGGGCACTCCCTTGGCCATCTGCACGCTGAGGTAGACTGTCGACCACTTTCCCCTCGATCGATACTCCTTGAAAACGTCTACCCCACTACCTGAGAACCGTCTGATCGCACCGCCTGGTGACTGGTCGTCCGTGCACATGCTTCACCGCACGGCGTCCGCCGGCACTGTCCTCACTCCCTTTCGTTGCGACAGCGCCTGCTATCGCGCGGCACGCTCCGCACTACCAATGCACATTGGGCTCCTGGAGAGGGGGCGCCCGCTCCCTCTTTTCCTCACCAGAGGCAAGCCACAATGGTGTAGACACAACACGCACGATACGCACATGCGAATCACTGCACTATCCGCGAGGGCCCGATCAGGGCCCAAATCGACCGGCGACGGCTGTCGCCAGCCGTCGCCGCCATCTTCGGTTCCCAGATCAGCAAATAGGGAACCGACCACAAGAAGCCTTCCACAAAAAAAAACCCTGAGACCCCAAGACGTCCATTGATTTTTGGTTGGGGAACGTTGCGCTTTCCATCGCAAAGCCATCGATGCCCAAGAAACCCAGGGCACCCTGGAGGCAAGCAGGGTGTTTCTCGGCATTGGCTTCCTGTACTGCGTCCTGGATGTTCGTGGATGGGAACGCCAAAACGCCAAAACGAAATGGATTGTGGTACAAATCCAAACGCATCTGGGGGCCTGATGTTTATCCATATCCACTGCGCCTCTGATTTCTGGGGAGGGGGGCCCGATTCTCCAGGACGCAGTGGATCTGGATACACATCTTACCCGCATTGGTGTCTGTTCCACTGGAGCCTACGTGGCCTCCAGCGCTGCCCAACCAAGGCCCAATGTGGACCAACTTTGGAACACATTTGGGACTAGACTCAGATTATGTTGCTCCCATCGTATTCAAGGAACACATCCCAGAAATAATTTCGAGCTCCCAGAAAAAGTGTCGAAACAATGTCGAACAAGTGTAGCCTCCCAGGGCCCGACACGTGAAAACCTCCAAATTTCAGTACTTTCTTGGTGCTCGAACTTCTTTTTGGCGAAGGCTCAAGTATGTCGGAACATTATGAGACTCGGACCGGATTCGCCCCTACACAAGGAAGGCGAGAAGAACGAGGAGGGTAAGGAACAAAAGGGGCGAGGAGAAGAAGGAAAAAGGGCCAAGTGCGGGCCACATGCGGCTCAAATGTCACCGCCCAAGGCTCCCATGAACAAACATCGAACAGACATACTCGCGTCGTGAAAAATCAAAAAGACCTTGGCCGTTTTCGGTCTCTGGAAGCCCTCGACAGACCCCGTGACAATGAACAAACGACTTATAACGAAAATCGGGTCCCGGAGAAAGGATCGGGACTACCAGGGAGAACATAGAAGTAGCCTGAGGAGGAGGAGGAGGAGGAGGAGGCCGGAAGGCCCAGCAGGAGAACCAGGAGGCAACGGGAGGAAGAAGGTGAAGGATCAGATCAGAAGGAACGACATGTAGACGAGGTTGAGAAGGCGAAGGAGGTGGAGTCATGAC